TTTACAGCTACAGAGAGTCTGATGAAAGCAATAACAGCTTTTAGTGGCTCATAAGACTTAATGCACAGAGAGATCATCTGGCTATTCATTAGAGAGAGTTTCACTCTGGATTCTGTGTGTGTATGTGTGTCAGCTGCAATCTCATTACACACATCTAATCTAACTATTGCATTCAGCTTCCTACTCTGAGAGCTTTTAAATTACATTATACTCACGTACACACAGAGACGCATCTCAGTGAACACATGCAAATGCATGTAACACAGACAGACAAACATGAAGCTGGGCTGCTCTGAATGCACTAGAGATCTGCTCTCTCTCTCTCTCTCTCTATCTCTCGGTGAAACCTGGTGTTTCTTCGTTTACAGGCATTTTTATGTCACAGTGGTTGATTTTTACTACAACAAGCAGATTTCAGCTGTTTTCTTTTCGTTATATGAAGCTCACATCACAGCCTGTCTTGGATTTAGATCACTTTACTCTTCTCCGAGACCCAGGCTTTCAAATCTTAAAAGACTGAAATAATCCTTAATTTTGTGAAAAGAATTTATCAATTTTTACACAAATTAAAACTGTAATTTCCACCAAAACCAATCATTTTGCACCTAATAAAGTCTAATAAAATAAAATGTTATTTTTAAATGTCATTTTCACCACACAGTGATATCAAACTGGATGTGCTGGATATGGCACTGTAATGGAAATTATTTAAAAAATAACAAAACATTGAGTGTTTCCACTACCATTCAGAAGATTAGGGTTGGTAAAAATGTTTTTAATGTTTTTGAAATAAGTCTCTTCACCGAGGCTGCATTTATTTGATCAGAAATACAGTAAAACAGAAATACTGCAAATATTACTGTAGTTTTTACAGTTAATTATTAAAATTTTAGTTTCCATTTGAATATATTTTAAAAAGTAATTTATTCCTGTGATACAAAGCTGAATTTTCAGTATAATTTCTTCAGTCTTTAGTAAAGTCTTTCAGAAATCAGCCAAATTGGTTCTCAAGAAACATTTATTATTATTATCAATGTTGAAAACAGTTGTGTAGCAGTTTTGTGCAATTTAATGCATGCAAGCTGAATAAAAGTATTAAATTATTTAAAAACTAAAATTTTAGTGATCCCAAACTTTTGATTGGAATAGTGTATACATGTATGTTCACTGTTTGACATTTTTAAATTAAAATAAAGTATTGAAAGTGCAAAAAGTCTAAAGAGCCACACATGCCCAGAGTTTACCGCTGAACTGAGATCAGTCTATAACCTCCCATCCAGCCGGTCATATAATCTACTGACCCGGACCAGATGAAATCTGTCAATGTTTTCAACATTTTCAGCGTTTTGACTGAGGAAAATCTTCAGACATCTTCAAAATGTATTTAAACATGATACAAAGAGTACTGTATTCCATTCAATAAATGAAAGCATAATCAAATTAGCCAAAATACTTAACGAAACATGCAAACAATGAGTATGTGTAGATCTTTGTGAATGACAGGCGCTACAATCTCAAATCCACAAGCTCCCTGTGGAGTTCTGCAGGCACAGTTTCCGCATGGGCCAGTAATGAGACACACTCCAGCTCATCTCATACACACACACACGTTCATATAGAGAAAAGACAGACTCTCTGTCATTCAATTCCTGTGTCACTGAAGCACAAGACATTCAACCCTTCACTGATTGAATCCATCTCTCTCCGGCTACTCTGCCTCTCATTTTTGGGATGTAGCTGCTGAGAAACAATGAAACACTTTTCCATCATCCCTCATTTCTTTTGTATTGTCCCATCATACTGTCCTTCATTTTTCTTTCTTTCTTTGCACGTCCATCTTTTCCCATTTCTCTATGCACTCAAGTTTTATGGTTCTGTACTTCAAATCATGCAGTGAAAATGATCGACATTTTAGTTTCAATAAATGGTCATTTTGGACTGTTATGCAGGAAGTTATGAGTTCAGAAAGTTTCAGTACAGTACTTATTCATAGTGATGAACTCTCATCTCTAGAGATGCACTGAAAGGAATTTCTTAGCAAAACCGAAATTTTTGTTTTCATTGAACAATATTTATTTTAATAATCAATTAACAAATGAGTTTAATAATCAAAACACTCAAATAAAAGCTGAGATGTATTATGCAAACATTTAAATTGCACATATGGCAGTTTTTATTTCAACTTTTTAATTATATAATTATACAACTCCAATAAGTTTTTGAAAAATGGTGGCTGTAATAAAAACTTGCTTTCAAGACATACATTAAATAATAAATGACTATAAAATAATAATAAATCTCTAGTTTTTTTTTTTTACTATCAAACTATGAGCACTGAATGGCTTTCCTGAGGTAAATGTGACATTACATGACATATTTAAAAGATGATTTATCAATGACTTAACACTGTTTATTGTTTAAATTTCATGATAATATGGACAGAGTTTGAAAGCTTAAACTTTGTTTAATTTCAAACGTAAAAAAAAAAAAAAAAAAAAACTCAACACTTATTGTGATTACTGGATAACAGGTGCTCTACAAATAATGTTTTGTTCATGCATCAACTCATAGACTAAAAGATTGATATTGGTTCATCAAAATGAAGATGAAAAAATGAAGAAATCAATATTGTCGAAGTTTGAATCAATGTGATATGTGATTTTGGCTCTCCAAAACTATTTCGGCTAAAACCAATTTTATTTATTTAAAAAAAAAAAAATTCTGTTTTGGACAAACATTTTTGTTAAAAAAAAAATTTCTGTTGTTTTTACAATATTAGTGGTTACAAAAAATGGTTGCCAGAATAATTCTGTAAAATACAGTAAAAAAAAAAAAAATCAGCTTTACAGAACAACCTTTAAATTTTACAGTTTAAAACTGAATAAATAAATACATACATAAAAAAAAGTCCAGCAGCCCTTTCTGTAAATTGTAATTTTTTTTCCATTAGAAATTATAATATTCATTAGAAATGATAAAATGACATTCTTTTTACTTTCAAAAACTGCACATTCAACTGTATTTTACTGTAAAATTATATTAAATGTTCTTCAAGAAACAGCTAAAAACCTCTTCCATCTACACTTGACCCTCTAACACTACCACTTTCTGTTCTATTTCTATTCTAACTACTTTTTTCTTTTTATTTAAAAAAATTGGCCCTCTATCACTAGCGTTCTCTATTCTTTTTCTATTCTTTCTACTTGTTTTCTTTTTATTTATTATAAAAAAAACCTTGCTGCATGTACTGCGTTAGACTAACCGAGACTTGTCACAGCACTTACATGCTGTTGCTCTTTTGTTGATTTTGAATGCTTCTATTGTCCTCATTTCTAAGTCGTTAACATACTGTTAACCAGTTAATGGGTTTTTACTGTAGCATTTTACAATCTTTTACTGTTAAAATTAGAATCATTTTTTACAGTGTGCATCACTGCTAATATAAAAAGATCAAGGAAAATATTACCCATTTAATGGGTGCATTTTATCACAGACAAATAGACACATTCATTGCCATTTAAAGAAAGAGAAAACATGCACACATATAATGATATGAAAAACAGCACATAGCGTTTGCTCATTTCTGCTCTTAATGCAGAAAAGGTACATTAGAGCTGTTACTCCAAGCGTTCATAACAGAAAGGTGACAAAGGTTTATTTTGTGCTCTAACTGCTAATCCGTCTATTGCACAAAGTCTTCCCTATCTTTACAAGAAAGAAAACACGTTGAGCAGCAAATCCAGCGTATGTCTTACAAACTTGTGGGAGTTTTCAGCTAATTCTCACTAAAGAGCGGATTTGAGCGCTGCTCTCGCATGCAAGCCTGCGTGCCGATGCCCCGTAGACAGAATGTGCTTTAAAGCCTTTTTAGCACAGCCTCACTTAAACTAAAGCTTAGGCTTAAATGCAATTGGGTGTCTCATAAGGGTTTAGAGGAAGGGATGCTGAGAGCGTTCGATGTGTGCCTGCGGATGGGCATTGTATCTTTTGGAGGAAATGAGAGAGATAGATGAGAAGCATATTGTCTCGTTCAGGCAGCAGTTAGTGGGAATTTATTGTTGGCAGATTGTGTGCATGTGGATATGAATGTACAGTAGTGTTGATGTTTGTGTTCACACATACAGAGAGGTTGTTGTGTGCGTGTGCAATACAGGCTGTTCTGTTATCTGGCCATTCTGAGATTATCAGAATCACTGCACCCGACTGACCAATTACCAGAAGTAGTAATTCGTTTCCAAAAATCTTCTGACAGCCGATTCTGATCATATTAGTGCTAAATGATTGTGAATGCATCATAAATATTGTATATTTCTCTCAGCCCTACTGCATACTAACAAGGTTTCGGCTGCTCTCAGTGCTTCTGTACTTTTGTTTGACTTCTTTGACCTGAAAGGCCTCCTTTGTTGGCACAGCAATCTAACTGACCTGATAAAAGTCAAACCACTCCAAATATACCTCCATTCTCCTCGCTGACTTCTTTCTAAAAAAAAATAGGTAATACAAGACAGAAGACTAATTAAGGAGTCAAGTGGAAAGAAAGGGAGAGCGGGGGAGAGTGAGTGACTTTCTTGATCTTTAGAAAGACACGCTAAGTTCAGCTTGTTAGAATAGCATACTACTTTTACTATTTCTGTAGATTACGCTATGCAGTGCGCTCAACTTGACCTTCAACTTCAACCTGCAACAGCAGTTCATTTTTAACATCTCCAAGTTCTTACTGAATGTATGTTCAGAATAGCATATCACCATAATCAGGGCTGGACTGGGACAAAAAATCGGCCCTGGCATTTTTTGGTCCAGGCAGCCCACAAATTTAATAAAAAATTTAATAAAAATACTGACTGTTACAAAAGCTTTTTATTTCATATGAATGCTGATCTTTGGTTCTTTCTATTGGATCTTTCTTACTGTTTCTTACTTTTTTTATTTAAATCTAGCTTTATTGGTCCATGGAAACCTCTATGAACACACTTGACTTGACTTGGCTAAAAAAATCGCGGGGGACGAATTTACGTTTCATTAAAAAGTGTTTACGCATACACTCATGGCGCGCAGCCGCGCACACACATTAGGATAGGTTAGATTCCTGCCTCCGTTGCGAGTCCCTATCGAGCACTTTACCAATTCAACTACTCTCTTCTTCTCCTTCTGCCTTGCTCTTTGGCCCGCATCACTCACCGCAGAGCAAGCCTGTTCTTGATAAATCTCCTGTGAAAACGTGGGAAAAGCCGACGAGGAAGAAGTTGGGGTGATGTGATCTTTATATAGGCGGAGCAAAATACTTCATCGCTCCGTCTATAGCGCATTGTGATTGGATGTTTACGCTGTCAATACAGGAGACAAACCAATGGGCCACTGGCTGCTCGCTGTCCCTGCGTGATGGTTTTCTGCAAAAAAATTTAAAAAACATTCTGTCGGCCCCTTAAGTGCGTCGGCCCACCGGGAAAATGCCTGGTATGCCCGATTACCAATCCAGCCCTGACCATAATGCTCATCCTGTAGTATGCACATTGTGTGCATTATGCTAATTTTCTGCATGCACTATAAGATGACTGAAGACAATTGCTAAATGTGCAGTGCACACTGCATGTCGTACTGTACCCCACAATTCAATGCACTCTTGATCTCCCTTATCCAGTGTGGTGAAATAATTGCATGTAATATCAGCTGCAATTTTTAGGAAAGGAATATTTAGGGTTCAGTACAAGTCATGCTCAACCATCAGCATTTTTGGAATAAAAGTGATTATCACAAAAAAAATGAAATTAAAAAAAGAAGGCCAATCTGTAAATGTTAAAATACTCACTGTTTCAATAGTTTAGCCAAAAGACATATGTGACCCCGGACCACAAAACCAGTCATAAGGGTCAATTTTTCGAAATTGAGATTTATACATTATCTGAAAGCTGAATAAATAAGCTTCCCATTGATGTATGGTTTGTTAGGATAGGTCAATATTAGGCAGAGATATTAGAGATACTATTAGAGATACTATTTGAAAATCTGGAATCTGAGGGTGCAAAAAAATCTAATTATTGAGAAAATCGCCTTTAAAGTTGTCCAAATTAAGTTTTTAGCAATGCATATTACTAATCAAAAATTCAGTTTTAATATGTCTACAGTAGGAAATTTACAAAATATCTTCATGGAACATGAATGATCTTTACTTAATATCCTAATGATGTTTGACATAAAAGAAAAATCTATCATTTTGACCCATACAATGTATTTTTGGCTATTGCTACAAATATAAATGATTTTAGCAAATGGCTGCAATATAACAAAGAGTGAAAAATTTAAGGGGGTCTGAATACTTTCCGTACCCACTGTATGTGTTTTATGGCAACTCTCTTTTACTTATTTGCAGTACTTATTTGAAAATTATACCACTAATGATATTGACCGAGGTTAACTTTTTTTTAACCTAGAATATTTCGATTAACTGTCATTTAAATAATATCTAAATGCCAAAAATATTGTTGGTACAAATATATGCTTCATTTTCTTATTTTCCAGACAAAACAGGTTTAACAGATTCATTATCATCATCACATGGAAGACAGATGACAGAATGAACTTTTAGCAGATATATGCCTTTAAAATTTACTGTCTTTTTCTTCCAAGAATATTGACCAAAATAGCGATGACTTATTCTGCACCACAACCATTTTTGTCCAATCAAACACTCACTTAAATGAGAATGACCCTCCTCCTAATATAAATGACTAGCAAGTAGTTAATAATGTTTCATGGCCTGCAGGCTAAAGAAACAGCAACAACAAAAAAGGCCATCAAGGCGTCTGACCCAAACTTACCGTTTCAACTGTACATACATCAACTCAGGACAGAAAACTGTACCTTTGCATCTTTAAGGTACTAAAATGTGCCCGTTATGGTTAAAAATGGTACAAAGGAGCACCTTTTGAAAAGTTACCGCTCCAGTGACAGATTTTGTACCTTTTTTCTGAGAGTGTACTGTATATGTCAATAATATCTAGTTTACTTGCTACTACGTGCCTCAAACTAAACTCAAAGATCTGATCTTCAGTGACCGGTTCTTCCTCATAAGCACTCATTGCATCAACCCTAAACCTTGTAAACACGACTTTTTGCTCCTGGAAGTCAGTCAGATGAAAGTGCAGTTTAAGTGCAGTCTGCATCAAATGGCCAGCGAAGAGACTGAGCGGCCTGTGAGGCTGAGACGTGTGATAACTTGTGGAAACATACAACGAACAGAGCATGTGGTAAGCGGCAGAGCTGTATTCATTATTCCCAGCAAAAATGATTAGTGCAGGCCAGATGTGTGTGTACATTTCCTTTTGCGTAAAGGCATGAGGTTTTCATTTAGTGCAGATCACTCTGTCTCAGAATGGAGTTAATGATCAGAGACTTTCCCAGGATTTACACTGTTGATCTGCTGCTTCATCATGGAGAGTTTCTCAGAGAGAATCTGTGTCGTGTTGCATCCCTTGAGCCCAAAGCAGGTGCAGGAGTGTCTCTCTCTCTCACACACACACACACAGCCACAAGCTTGGCACGCAGGCAGGCATTAATTTTCTCTCGTTCATCAAGCACAAATCACAGCAAACAATGCCTAATCAATGAGTAGGCCTTGTTGACAAACGTCTGCAGTAAGACACGAGTGAACAAAGAGCTCAAACAGAACAAACAGGAGGAGGAAAGAGTGAAACAATCATTCACCCAGTGAAATCAGGCACACCTGCGTTCTCCTCTAAAGGACAAGTGTACACATTTGCAAGGCCATTGCTAATGGGGTGAGCGTGAGAATGATTCTAGGGGTCCATAGGGGACCCCACAAATTTTCCAGTAGGATTCAGTGTAGCAATTCAATGTTCAATGTACTTTTTACATCCCAACAAAAATAACTACTTCATATTCCATCCTCTATGTAATGCGAGTTTTAAAGGAACAGTGCACCCAAAAATTAAACTTCTGTTATTATTTATTCCCCCTCTTGAATATATATAATGACAGTCTTTTTTAAAAGAAATTAGCACTTTTATTCAGCAAGGATGCATTATATTGATCAAAAGTGACAGTAAAGACATTTACCCCCGGTTTCACTGACAAGGCTTAAGCCTAGTCCCAGACTAAAGTGTAAGTCTGAGCTGTTTTAACTGAAAGAAACTTGCACTGACTGAAGTGACTAAAATATATCAGTGCCTCTGTTTTGTCTCAAAATGCACACTAGTAATGTTTTTTTTCTAAGGCACATTAAATAAATTTACTTAAATGTCCTAATTGAACTATTGCCTAGTCCTAGCTTAGTCTAAGCCCTGTCTGTGAAACCAGGCCTTATAATGTTACAAATTATTTCTATTACAAATAAATGCTGTTCTTTTGAACTTTCTATTCATTGCAGAATCCTGGGGGGAAAAATGTATCACAGTTTCCACAAAAATATTAAGAAGCACATGATATGATAATAATAAGAAATGTTTCTTAAGCAGCAAATCAGCATATTAGAATGATTTCTGAAGGATCATGTGACACTGAAGACTGGAGTAATGATGCTGAAAATTCAGCTTTGCATTACAGGAATAAAAAAAAACATCTTACCGACCCCAAAGTTTTGAACGATAATGTTCAGTCAGGGTTCCCAGAATTCGAAGCTACATACTTGTACACCGATACATAAGTACACAACTAATAAACTGGGTGAACATAAACCAATAAAACAGAGAGCTATATGTTTTTAAGAGTAAACAAGGATAATCAACAACAAAAAACTTCAATGGATAGTGAAAAGTGGGCTCTATTTAGAAGAGTTCATAAATTGTGCCAAACTACTCCCCCTGAGGATATGTGTGAGTCACACCATGGAGAGCATCTACTCATGCTTTTCTGAGAGCGCCGCATGCTCAAACGCTGAGCGACGGTGACGTGGCCTGTCCTGCGTTTGTCCTCAGTGCTCATGAAACACTTGTTGAGCTCTGATCAGAGATGTATTAATCAGTGTGTAAGAGGCAAATGAGAGTTAGACCGAGTCAGAGATGAGTAAGGAAACACACAACACTGAAGTGGAAGGATTGCTCACAGAATAAACGGCACAATCCATGTCTGTACAGTATGCTTTGGTGTGATTTTATAAAGCATTATACAGACACAAATCTCATAAATCAACAAAAATTTGTATTTTTGCACTTGTCCCACCTTAGAGGTCTTAACCTTCTTGACCATATCATTTAAAATTAAAATCATACGAAAGAATCATAACTTTGACATTATCTATTGAAAATTGCTAATCAATTCACCTTAGCAGAATTAATTATTAAAGAATTATTCATTCATTAATATATTTTAAAAATGCACAAATTATTTACTATTATTTACTAAGAAATATGAATCCTTATTTACTCATTTTAATGACCAAAAATGTTTTATAACATAACTGTGTCCCACATTTTGTGCATGGATTAAGTAAATAAACTAATGCTATTTTCTATGCACTGAAGACTGGAATGACTGCTAAAAATTCAACTTTGTCATCAATGGAATAAATTACATTTGATGACATTTAATTACAAAGCAGTTATTTTAAATTGTAATAATGTTTCACAGTTTTACTGGTGAGCATAAGAGACATCTTTCATAAACATTTTTTGTTACTTATGTTTATTTAATGTGTATTGCTAGAAAAAAAATCAGGGTTTTAAACTATATGGACAACCCTAAAAATCGCAAACCTCTTAGAAACTAAACAGAAAATAACGTGTTTATATAAGATAAATAATTGTTTAAATAATAAATTAAATAATATTTACTTTGACCTCCTGAGACTGACAATCCACATTTTCTGATGGTTAACCACCTATTTTCGCTGATAATTTGTTGAACGAAAGCAACATATAGTAAGAGTATACAGCTATAAAATCAACTGGTTATGGAGGAATATGATGAGAAATCTTTGCGTTCATACCAAGGTTATTTTCGTAAACAAAAACTGAAACTAAGACTAAAACTATTGGTCAAAAAACGTTTTCGTAAACTGAAATAAAATTAAAATGTCAAAATAAATGAAAAACTAAAACTAAACGAAACTAACAACAGTAACTGAAAAACTAACTAAAATAAAATAATAATTAGCAAAAATAAATAATCGTGTTCGTGATTTAATAAGCTCTCATTCTG